CATCAGCAACTACAACCGGTTTGTTTTCAGACGGGGCACCTGAATTCACAGGCACCTGCCAGGCCCAGCGTTTCAGACTGGTCTGCACACACTCCCAGCTGGCACAGGTCATTACAGCAATTGCAGAGGGGAAATGTTCATGCCAAGGGTCAGGCAAGGGTCTAACTGAGCAACACTGTCAGACAACCCTTCCAGAAATCCTCATGACCCTGAGAGCTGGACCTGTAAAGGGGCTAGCTTCCCAGACACAGGTTGATGTGTACACCACTTACTTCTGTAGGGCTGAGAAAGATGCCTGACCCACCCCTCCCTGCCATCCAAGCTGAGCCCTGAAATGAGGCACAGAAGGCAGCCTAGGATGCCTGCCCCACTGCCATACTGAACCACACCAGAGACAGAGGTCTCAAGAGCAGCAGCGATGGTGTCCTTGTGGCAGCTCTTTTCACATTTGGCACATGGAGGTGGGAGGGAGCTGGCACACTTCTCCACAGCATCCTCCAGAGCACTGCTTACATGAGCCTGGGAAGGGCAGTGCCAGATGACATGCTCAGCTCAGCAGAGCTAGCAGGAGCTACGTGACCACCACAGCCAGGCAGCAGACCCCCAACAATAATGATCGAAAGGGCACCGGGGGCTATTTGCCTTGCTTTGGAGACTTTAAAAGGTCCTTGGGATCCATTTTCAAGCTTTTCTCTGTAACTGTGAGGGCTGGAAATGGACTTTACCCCACACAGCTGAGAATCCCACACAATACCATGACTCCAGCAGCTGAGGCATTGAGAAGAACACCCTCTGTCACTGGCAGCATTGCTGATTTGGTGGTTACCCTGGCACAAGGACATTTTCCTTGCATTTGTTGTCCCTTGTCCTGCTCAGCATGTAGGTCCGGGAATCTATCTGCCTATCTACTCTGGCCCTGCATTGGCAGGGTGGTACCACAGCCCTTCCATAATGGGATGAAAAGGCCTCTTCTGTGATCACTACACGCACCTGGGGATCACAGCCGCCAGCAGAGACGAAAGGTGCCAGCTGCTTCCCTATCTCAGTTCTGACTGGGAAAGAGGCAGGCAGTTGTGTGGCCAACAGGAGAAGAGGGAGTACCTGTTTTTCTAACATGCGCTTCAGAGAAGCCAGAGGACTAGATGGAGAGAATGGCTTCCTCGTGCTCTGGAGCAGCCTACATCTGTGAGTACTGGGGCCTCGGCTCTTTTCTCTGTATTGCAGAATGGCTCAATGAGCCTCCTTAGGAGGAGTTTTACACAACACTGGTTTGGAGTGGGTTCTTCCCAGCTCAGAGAGGGCAACTCCCAGTTCCTCCCTGAGTCACTCCCATTGATCCAGCACAGGCTGCCCTCGGCTGGGGACTACCAGGGACCTCCCAAAGAAGGATGCTGCATCACACTATGGCTAAACTGGCCTGGCCCCCAGTCCCTTCTAGCTAGTCAACACCACTTGATTTTTTTTTTTCAAGGAAGGGGTGCAGCCATCTTCCATTGTGGTAGCCTCCCCCTGAGGACTTCACCACCCCAGCTGGCCTAAAACCTCTACCCTGACTTACAACAGTTCAAACAGAAATAAGCAAGGAGTGAATGTGGCTCTGAGACTTGGGCTCAGGTGAAATACCCTGGCTGTGAGGGTGCAGTGGTGCAGTCTAGGCACATGTGCTTGAAACCATTCGTGTTTCTGCCCAGGAGTTTCCACTTGGGCCTCAGGAAGCTAACTGCTGCATTTCTACTTAGTATGCTGAGCTGAGCCCCTAGCACTGCACTCTGGCTGTCTCCCTCTTCCCCCAACACCCCACTTGTTCTGGAGAAAGCAACAGCAGAGGAAGGAAATACTGCTATTTTCCATGGGCAAAATGAGCTCCCCGAGACAGAGGCTGGCATAGTCCCCAGCAACACTGCCTTGGAAACTCCCTTTTGTGCAAAGACAATGAGCATTGCTTGGCCGTGGGAGGTGACTTCTTGGCCATGTTCCTCTTGGGAAGAGCAGGTTGCAAACATTCAGCTCTTCACAGGGAATGCTAAACACCTCCATATGTTTATAAACATCCAGCAGTTTAAAGATTAAAAACAGGCTTTGAGTCACAGCGGGGCAGCTCGTGCTGAGTAATTTTGGAGGACAGGGTGGACATTCACCAAGGGAAATCCTTTAAAAAGGTCAAAATTAACTGGTGGTGGACACACTGTCAACACAAGCAGCTGCGTAAGGGGCCAAAAGCTGTTTGTCTAAAAGCTCTGTTGGAAGACTGCTAGAG